TCCATTTGGGGTTACGATCCACAGTTTAAGAACCGCTGTACTAAGAATAGGGTATGCCCAGGGTCGGCAGTCTGTGGCCTGGGGCTGGATCCATCCCATGTAGCAGGGAACCTTCAGGCAGTAGGGAGAAGCAGTGGCAGCAGCCTGGATCCTAGTGCCTGCCCATCTTGGACATGAGCTGAGTCATTTCAGTCCACAGCTGGGAAACAAAACTGACCACTGGGGTCAGTGAAAGCATGTCCCATTCCTTTTGAAACTAGGCCGTGAGGCAGATAGAAAAGTGAGGGTCGTGGGGACAGAGAAGAACAAGCAAGAAGGAATCTGCCTCTGTAGCCTACTGGTTAGGACACTTCCCTGTGTGGAAGGGAATTGGTCTATTTCTGGTCTGTGCTCCCAAATCTGTTTATATTTTCTAAATTTCAGTCTTCAGATAGAGAACAAGAACTGCCCTGGCAGCAGAGACTCTGACCACCACCACCACTCATTCTGTGCTGAATTTAGTGCTGTCAGTATGAGTTAGGCAGGATTTGGGACTGCCTAATTGTGGTTACCCAGGGACCTTGTAGATTTTGGTGTGTAATGAGGTCTTAGGGTGCTAACTCCAGGCCAAACTGAATTGCTTCTTGGGACTTTGGTGTCTAAGTCCGACATCAGTGCCTACTGGATTATTTGAATCTAACCTTAGTTTCTACCACAAGTCAAAATAGGTATAATGTACCCTTGTTTAAAATTTCTCGTTTGTCTGCAAGATTTCAATTGGGTTTTAGCAACAATTTAGAGGTAAAATTACATTTGTTTGTAGTTATTCCTATTTGCCTTATGATATTAAGATTTACCTCGACTCTTCTCCTGTTGACTTGAGTAGAAGCAGAGTTAGATTCTGGTGCTTTTGAAAATCTCTATTTCCAGTGTTAATTGTGAGTGCCTTCAGAGAGCAAGAATTATAGACTGATGTTGAAAAACAAACTTGTTCTTCATGAAAATCATTTTTGAATGGGCATTTTTGGAGATGAAGAGTGGGATCTGTGAAAGTATCTAAAGGAGATGAGAGCATTTATGCCATTGGAAGTACCAGTGATATCCAAGCTAGAGTTTAAAGTGCAATTCCTAAACCAGTGATTCTTAGCCAGGGTGCCATAACACCATGTGTTCTTAGCCATGTCTTGAGACCCTTTTAAGGGTGTCATAAATGTGCAAACACCCATGTATGATTCACAAGATAAACCCAGAGATTTCAAATGCAAATCCACAGTGTCAAAAACATCCTGGCCTATTGTGATCTTTTTGAGGTTTTTTTGCAACAGAATTGCTCTATTTTTCTGTTGTCAAAAATCATGTAAAAACTGAAAGCTAAGAGCTGGCCTTTCTAGGGGGGTGCCTTGAATCTAAACAAGTTGAGAACCACTGCCCTAAACAATACTCTCTGTTGCTGCTTAATATATTAGCATTGATTATCTACTTAAAATTTTTAGATTTAAAATATTTAGACTTCTAAATTTATATAAGGGTTTCCAATGACTTCCTGCTATTTTTTATATATATGTATAGGATGACGAAGTCAACAAACCAATGCCAAACAAAGGAGACCATGGATTAGCTCCCGGAAATGAGAAGTTCAAACCTGTGGTACCCTGGCCTCATGTTGAAGGTGTGGAAGTGGACTTGGAATCTATTCGAAGAAAAAATAAGGCCAAAAATGAACTAGAACATCATGGTGGTGAACAGCAGAACATCATGCAGAGGCAGTATCTCACATTTAAGCCTCAGACACTTGTATACCGTGATCCTGTATTACGACCTGGAGTCCTTGGTAATTTTGAACCCAAAGAACCTGAACCTCATGGCGTTGCTGGTGGCCCTGGAGAGGAAGCGAAGGCATTTGTTTTAGGACCAGACTACAAAGAAACTGTTCAAGCCAGCATTAAAGAGTTTGGGTTTAATATGGTGGCAAGTGATATGATCTCGCTAGATCGGAGCGTTAATGACTTACGTCAAGAAGAGTAAGCAGACTTCTTGTTCTCTGTGTTTTTCTCTTGAGGGATGGGAAATGTGTAAATGGTTTTTAATCAAGTACTTAAAATGCAATAGAGATGAAACCAAATAATGAGATATCTTACTTTGGCAAAGCAGGCTGCTGGATCATACTAAACATTTTCCTATGTTAATACTAGTAGTATTTCACTTAATCTTTTGTTGAGTATTTAATTTCTTTTGACTAAGCTTCCAAGGTAGTCTGTTCCAATGCCCAATCAAGCTAATCAGGATGGCCTGTCATCATTATATATTTTTATTTTTTAAATATCCTCAGGTTGTTTATATAGTGAATAAATCCTTGGTTTCATTATTTCCCTTAAAATTTTATGTACAGTTCTTAAAACATTTCCTTCCAGCCCCTGGTTTCATTTTTCCCAAAACACTCTTAAATTGAGCTGTTTTTATAAGCAGAAAACTGAACCTAAGGAATATATTCTTCTCTTTGATATACAGGTGTAACTGCTAACCTGCCTGCATTCACAGAAGTACAGATCTCCCATAAAGATGTTCAGAATTCAAATCTGACACTAGTATGCCCCTTCTAAGCACTTCACTCTTTTGTATATTAAGGAGAAGGAAAACATTCTGGAAATATAGGTCTTTTAACTGGTATGTGGGTTTTTCTGGGTATGTTTTGGTATGGAGTGGGATGTTTTACCGGTCTTTCCCAACTCCCTTTTTAAAATCAATCTCTTCTAACTACTCTGGCTAGGGGTAGATGTTCAAAAAGCTTGAGCCTGATTTAATTCAATCTTTGCAGGTTTAGTCTAACCTGGCTAAGGTAAACTGTTTGTAATCTTGCAGATATCCCCTCTGGGCTGAGGAAATGCAGGCACATGCTTGCAGCGGCTCCGACTAGAAGCTGGTGTGTGCTAGAGCAGCCCTCCCTCCCTTTCACAGTGCTGAGCTGAGGGAGGCATGGCCAGGCCCCAGCAGGATGCTCTGATTAGAGAGGGGTCCCTCCCCCACCCCCTATAGCTGTTGATAACAGCATTTAGTTACACAGCAGGGAGTTACACAGGGAGTTTTTAGCATTTATCATTCCATCAAACAAAACAAAAGCCTCTCATTAGTTCAGGCTCTTAAACAACTTTTTCCAAGGAAGGAACAAAGGGACGTTACCAATTACCTGTTGATTAGCTCCTAAATGCCCTAAGCCAACATTGTCCTGTCTCCCACAGCACAGACTGTAGCCAGCATGTGGTATGCTAGCTAATGCTGAGAGGTGTCTGTGTAAGGCAGAGGGTAGGGAGGAATCCCTGCTTAAGCAGGGGGAGTAGAGCAGGAGAAAGCCAGGCAGATGCTGCTGTACCTGCAGTCTCTGCTGGAGCTCCAGCCAGGGAGCAGCGGGATAGGACCAGCTCTGCTGGCCTGGAGTAGAGAGCAGAGCCCTGCCCAGGTTTGCAAAGCATGCTGGTGTGCTGGAGGACTCTGATTTAACTTAAACCAGGAAGGCGTTTGGGACAGACATTCTATAAACCAGTTTGACTCAGATCAGTTAAATCTGATACTATATTCAACCAGGTTTATCGCAAACCGGTTTGAGCCATTTTCAGACTGGTTTATGTGCACTAAACATCTGTTCTGTTACAGGTTTAATCCAGTTTTTGATCACTTAAACCAGTTTATGTTTAAAGTCTGTCCTTAGCCCCTTTGGTTACTCTGTCTGGAAGATATTTTACAGTTACAGAAAGGCGGCAGTAAGCTCCGATCTTGAAGGGAAAATAACACTTGATACTTACGGTTGCGTTAGAGTCATGTTGGGCATCTATACATGTGCCAGATATCTGCTCCGATGCGTGCCAGTTAACACAATTAATCGAGTCTGCTGGAGCATGCTAACATACTCCAGCAGCTGGCGTGTCATGTCTGTTCAGCATCCCCATGCTTCAAAATGGCAGCGAGGACATTTTAACTAAAGCTCCCCCACTGCCATTTTGAAGCATGAGATGTTGACTACACATGATGGTGAGGGTGATTTAATTAGAGCGGCTCTCAGAGCTGCTCTAATTAAAGTGTCCCCTCCCCCCCACCCTGGAGCACATGTATAGGCACCCCTTGTTTGTAGCCACGATGTCCAGGAATTACATGGGAGGCAAGGATTTTTTAGGTGATTATTTTTTATTGGACCAACTGCATAATGAGGATAAAGTTAGGCAAGCTTTTAAATGCAAGGCATTCTTCCTCAGGTCAGCTGGACTTGAACAATACAACCAAGGACTCCAGGTTGTTTTGGACCAACTCAACTGTATAGTTGGGATAAAGCCTAACTATGAACCTGCTCCAATAAAAGATATAATACCAAAAAAATCCTTGCCTCTCATATTTGATACTTATGTTTGTTCTTAAACCTGTACTAGGAAAAGGTCCTCTAAGTTTCATTATACTGATCATAGAAGCTAAAAATAGACAACCAATTTAATGCAATACTGATTGGTCCAGGCTGACTTGTATCAAAATAGATGCAGCAGTCATTTACACGTGAGGCTTAAATAGCAGTTAGTTTGAATTAGCGGTGATTGTTCCAAGGCAAAGTATTAATTCAGATAATTTACAGGTACTTAATTTGGGACCATGGGCTTGTCAGGTCTGGGGTTTGCTGCGAGAGAAAACGCTTGGGTCCGAATCAAGTCTATTAGGTCCGAATCAAGTCAGTGGTCTGTTTTTAGCCTGATGTGTGTGCCATTTGTATTTCTGTTCCCTGTGAAAAATATGTCTGTTTTATTTCTTTGCCATCCCTAGCTATGGAGCTATGCCAACCACAAGGTCTGATGCCAGGCTTTGGATTGTGTCACCAGCTGTGGCAGCTGAACCATTGGATAACTGGCTGGCTACTATGGCTCCACTGTTGTCTTTTTCTGATGTGTGTTTTCCATTTCGTGAGCTGGGATATGAATCAGGCCAGCAGCTGGCTGATTCTACCTCTTTGTGCTTTGGTATTTCAATTTACTGCCTTTAGTGTGTTTGTTAAACAGGAAAGGAACATATTCTGAATCCAATTCATGTACAGTGTAGCGTTTCCATTTCTGCTGTATGTTAAGGGTTGCAGGTCTTTTACAAAGCATACTTCTGGCTTGGCAGCAGACCTGTCCAGCACCCGTACGAAGCGATTCTCTGCTTCTTGAAGTCCCCTCCAGATTTTTCTGCCCAACTGTGGCCAGCAGCGCAGCCATATCTCCCTGCTGCAGAGCTTTTTTGAGGAAAACTCCAAACTTAATTTTAAATTTCTAGTTTAGCAAGTTGCCTTGGTAAGTCAGTTAGCTCCCAGCTCTGCCCCACGTCAGCATTGATTTGGGTGGGGTGGTGGGGATGGAATTTGATCCTTAGATTCTGCTGTTTCTCCTGAGACATTTGCAGGGGCTGATGCTCCTCCAGGATTCTGGGAGAGAGCGGTGCTAAGAAAAGTCAGACAGAAGGAGGTTTCCCTCTTTCTGTTTCTTATCAGGAGTCCTTTGGGACGCTGAGCTAGCTAAGAGCATGTAGTTCAGTTTTCCTCAAAGCTCAGGTTGCCTAGGCCCTTATCTCCTCTGAGAAGGAAAGAAGGCAGGCAGGACTGGGAGAGAGCTGTCTGTATGGCAAGCAGCCTCTATCTCTGTGATACGAGTGAAGCCAAAATGGCAGCCTGCCAGCTGAAACACTGATTGGGAATGTCTGTAGTCCAGACCAGGCAGCTCAGCTGCCGCCTTCTCTCCCTGCGGTCCCATGGGTCACAGATGGATGGCACCAGACAGAACGCAAACGTTGCCAGCCCTAGAAAATGTGAGAGGTGCCTTTTCAGGTCAGTTACTTCCCACCTGCTGCCACTTTGTTAACAGTTGCCCTCTTCCACTCTCCTTGCTGCTTCACCTCAGGGTATTTATATCCCATTGTCCTTATTTCTAACCTTGGAGAATAGGGAACAAGCAAAGCACGACCTAGTCTAAAATATCTAACATTTCTAAAGGATGCTGGTCCTCAAAACATTCCGATTTTTACCCTGACAATTCTTATGTTTTACACATGGATAGTTTTTTCTGATTCCTGCTTTCAGTCATTTCCCATTTGATTTTGCATGCGCCTTTTACAGTATCTCTCATCAGAATCTTGGTAGCAGTAATATTGCTTTAGGGAAGGAAAAGGTTCATTTTTTTTTTTTTCTCTTTCTGGACGATTTTTTTTTTTCTGATTGGGATCGGTACAGAGAGAAAATTTGAAGTGAGTATAGAATAATGATCTTGGATTCAGGACAAATTTATGATGCCAGAGCAGTCAATAATAGACTTGAGGTGCTGAAATATACTTCCAGGTACAAGGTATCTTCACGGAAGAAAGTTAACAGAAGACAGTGACCTTGATGGAAAACAAAAATTGAATATTTGTTTCTTTGGCACCATTTATTGGCACCCATGGTGAATTCTGACCTTCATATGATTCTGTCTTCCAAAGTTCTTATAATAACTGCCTAGTAGTTGTAAGCATCCCCATTCACTGTCGGTGCATTACATCAGTTTTTTCCAATTATGTATTTTCCTACTCTCACTGCTACATTAGTGAATGCAGAAAATCAAGTGTGATTTTTAGGATGAGTGTTGCTAAAGAATCTTCCTGATGTATTTCAGGGAGTGGATACTTAAGGAAAGAACATCATGTCCATTATCTGTAACTGCAACATGATTCACTGAGGTGTTGGAATACTTCTCTTTTCATGAATAACAGACCTGTCCAGATTGACAGTCAAGATGGCTGATATGGTTTTCAGAATAACAAGGAAGCATTCTACCAGTCTAATCCTTATATATATGTCCTTGTCTTGAATGGAATAGTTTCTCATCTCTACATGCACTGCCTACAAAAGGGTAGAATACTAAGACTTAAATGGCAGAAGTCAGATTAGCAGAGTTGTTCATCCTCCTCCATCCAGGGGTATCTTGATTTTTGAAAATAAGGCAGGGGATTGAACAATGTTTTCCATGCCAATGCTAGAGTT